GAACCCGCGGGCTCAGGCAATCCACTCACCTCAGCCTCCCAAAGGCGCGAGATTACAGGCTGAGCCACCGAGCCTGGCTACATGTTTTTTTAATGATTGAGGTGATAAGAAAACTTTGTAACTTTATTGAGCAGTTACTAGGGAGATTCAGAACATAGGACATCTCAAGAGTTCAGTGACCAAGAGAATTAAGTCAACTATTAAGGCTAGTTTCTTAAATATTTAAGGTAACATAAAGATATTTGATTTGGGAGAAAAGCAGAAGTGAGAAATCATGTACTAAAGTTGATCTGCAGTCTAAAGGCTACCTGCGAGCCAACAGCCAGCAAAGGGCAGGAAGAAGCAGAAAAGACAGGATTCTTACCGTTTATCCTGCCCATGTTCATCCCAGATCCAAATCGACCCATGTTTTCCATACCACCACCAAAGGGTCCCTCCATGCCTGCAAGAGAGGGTCACATTTCAGTACATCCCAGCAAGACTGCTGAGACTGACTGAGGAAAGAAAAGTGTTTTCACATGTTTCACCTTGGGCATCTTTTGCTAAGAACTTACTTACCAAGCTTAAGGTCTATTGAAAAACAAAAAATAAAGGTGCCATTGTTTAAAAATCACAATCTGCAAAAAGCTGATCTGATCTAACCCTCTCAAGGAATGGACAAGTAAAAAGAGGTCCAGAGAGATGGAGTGATTTGCCCAAGGTCACAGAACTAGTTAGTGAGAAAGCCAGAACCAAAAGCCAAGACACCCACTGGAAGGACAGAAAACAGGTAAGAAAAACAATTTCCAGATGCAACTTTTTGCAAACCATGATGAGAATTTCATGCAGGACTCAAAAGACAAGAAAGAAAAGAGGAAAAAGAAAGAAAACTATACCTAAAAGTAATTATATTTGTACTTCACTTGAAATTTCTTACCTCCCATTTTATTTATTCCAAATCCTATGCCTTCCATTCCCATTCCTTAAAAAGAAAAAGTCAATGCAAACTAAAATTATATCAAAGCAGTACATAACATTTGAACTTTAAAAGCATAAGAAATTCCAAATCAGCAAATGAACAAGAACAATCCCTGATAACAAATATATTTTCATTGTCAAGGGAAAAAAAAAAGGCCCTACCATTTCAAATGTCAAAATATCATGTTCCAAGAAAACTATTTAAGTTTTTAACAAAAATAATCATCATGTGGCTTAAATTTCTGATAAAATTTCGAGGGTTCTACATAAGTTTAATTAAATGAACAAGTCAGATAGCACTAAACATGAAATATAGTTATCAGACACAGTCTATGGAATGTTCACTTTGTAGAAAACTTTTTTCGGGAACATAAGTGGATGTTTAAAAAATTCCTGTTAAGGGTAAAATTCTCAAAATAAAAAGTTCCATAAAACACTGAGGCTTCCTCCCCACCCTCAGCCTTTCTTTTTGGGTGTCTGATTTGACCAAGCCATTGGAGGTTGTGACCCAGAACCTTTGAAGGCAGCCTAAATTGACTCTGGAAGAGAGACAGGGATATGCAACACCGACAGTGGTAGGGTAGAAATACCCATATGGCGATTTTAGAGAATTCCAAAAAAGACCGAAGTCTGAGGTCATAAAAATGAAACATTCCTTCATAGTGCAGAAATATCTCATTATACGGAAATGAAAATGCTAAACAGCAAAGTCAAAGTTTTCATGCATTAGCTATTCCTTGTCTTCTTAAACAAAGACAACATTGTCTACCATTTTCCCAGTGACCCGGGACAGTTCCGCTGCCATGCAGAGAGGCCCTCCACACCTTTCTGCATCTACCAATGACCCAGCCTCTAGAAGGAGTTGTGCCAAAACCAGGTGAGAGCCTAAGGGGGTCTGGGTAACATTCTTCTCTAGGCACCCCAGCAGTGCCGTGGTCCCAAGGTCAGGTGGCCTGCAGTCTCTGTCACTAACTGACAGTGTGACCTTGAGCAAGACCAACTCTCTGGGTTGCCTCCTTTTATCAAATGGCATGATCATCACAGCTCAGGTTGTTGTGAGGATAAAATGAAAGGCATAATGATTTTTTTCCTAAAAAAATGATTCAATCCAATAAAAACACAAAATACCGCATTTATCAAAATGAAGCTAAGATGAATAAGGAGGGAATTTTATCCCAGTTAAATCTTTATTCCATTTCAACTACTAAAGGTCCAATTATCCCAATAATTAACTTTAATAATGTTAACTTCCCCAGAAGCCCCCAGGCAAAATGCACAGTAATTCTCACCTGCTGGCCCTATGTTTCCCATTCCAATGCCTTTATTCAGGTGATTGGCATCAATAGGTTGCCCTCCTGGTCCTAATCCCATGCCAATACCACCAAGACCATCTGGAAGGAAAAGAGAAAAGTCGGAAGTGTAGAAAACCTTGACCCTCAAAGGTAGAGTCTTTGTCTAGTGAGTTTCAGCTGTCTACTCCAGCCTACCCACCCTGCCACCAGCAACCCCAGATCCCACTGCAGAATTCACCACGAAACACACAGGAGGGCTCCCCTTTAAGGTATAACCCTTGCTCATGCAATCATAGGCTGGCATTTGGGATTATGTATTCATACAACCCAGGGAACTAGAGATCAGTGCCAACAACCCACACAATAAGATTCTTGAACCAGTCGGGCTCGGTGGCTCAGTCTGTAATCCTGTGCCTTTGGGAGGCTGAGGTGAGTGGATTGCCTGAGCCTGGCGGGTTCGAGACCCTATCGCTACAATAAATCAAAATTAGCCGGGTGTGGTAGTGCGTGCCTGTAGTTCCAGCTACTCAGAAGGTTGAGGCAAAAGGATCGCCGGAGCCCAGCAGGTCGAGGCTGTGGTGGCCGGGAGTGGCCACTGCACTCCAGTCTGGGTGACAGAGTGAGACTGCAACTCAAAACAAAAAAATTCTTGAACCCCTATTTGTTTCCCTAACTCATAAATTGAGAAATGTTTGATCAAAAAAGCTGACTCAAGGCCATGCAAAGCAGCTCATGCCTGTAATCCTAGCACTTTGGGAAGCCAAGGTGGGAGGATCACTTGAGCCCAAGAAATCAAGACCTGGTCTCTACAAAAACAACAACAGCCGGGCTCGGTGGCTCAGCCTGTAATCCCGTGCCTTTGGGAGGCTGAGGTGAGTGGATTGCCTGAGCCCATGGGTTCGAGACCCGCCTGGGCAGCGAGACCTCATCTCTACAATAAATCAAAAAATCAGCCGGGCATGGTTGCGCATGCCTGTAATTCCGGTTACTAGGAAGGCTGAGGCGGAAGGATCGCCGGAGCTCAGCAGGTCGAGGCTGCCGTGGCCGGGAGCGGCCACTGCACTCCAGTCTGGGCGACCGAGTGAGACTCCAACTCAAAAACAAAACAAAAAAACAATAGCAGGTGTGGTGACTCACACCTATAATCCCAGCACTTTGGTAGGCTGAGGTGAGAGAACTGCCTGAGCCCATGGGGTTCGAGACCAGCCTGGGTAACTTGGCGAGACCTCATCTCTACAATATATCAAAAAATTAGCCAGGCATGGTGGTGTGTGCCTGTAGTTCCAGCTACTTGGAAGGCTGAGGCGGAAGGATCGCCTGAGCCCAGCAGGTCGAGGCTGCGGTGGCCGGAAGCATGCCACTACTCTCCAGCCTGGGTGACAGAGACTCCAACTCAAAAAAATAAAAAAGTAGCCGAGCTCGGTGGCTCAGCCTGTAATCCCAGCACTTTGGGAGGCTGAGGTGAGTGGGCTGCCTGTGCCCGCGGATTCGAGACCTGCCTGGGCAACTTGGTGAGACCTCATCTCTACAATAAATCAAAAATTAGCCGGGCGTGGTAGCGCATGCCTGTACTTCCAGCTACTTGGAAGGCTTAGGTGGAAGGATTGCTGGAAACCAGTAGGTCAAGGCTGCGGTGGCCGTGAGCATACCACTGCACACCAGCCTGGGCAATAGAGTGGGACTCCAACTCAAAAACCAACAGTGTTATTAAACCAACCAATCAACATACTGGGTATACAGTATTCAATGACACTAATGAAATTCAAGGAAAACCTATCTTTCTGCCCAAAAGCTTCCTAACCCAGGAACAGAGATATACAACCCACTCTCAACTCCATGTCCCACAAACAGAAACACCAGAATACAAATTGGTCTCTGGAAACAGTCAACAAAGCCTAACACTTGTAATACTCTGGATAACCATGTTTTGAGGCTTAAACAAAGACCAATTGAGATTTTTTAAAAATGGAAACAAAATTCATCTTTAAAAAGCCTGCCACCAATTCCCAGGTATTTGATCTGATTAACATCTCCATTTGGAATTGCATGGCAACAGTATCAAGAAGATCACCAAGGTTACTCACTCCCCAAAGCACTGGATGCTTTGAAGTCAACCCTCTGACATGTGCTGGAGACCAAGAGCCAGAGATAATGGGATCCCTGGGGCCCAGTGAGCTCCTCCTCCTCCAGCACAAGTGTCAACCAACCCTGGTCCTGCGTGACCACTGACAACTGACTTGGGAGATGGGTGTGTTAAGACAGGAAATGTGGTCCTTCTTTAGATAATGGTGCCTTGCAACAGAAGGGCTATCTATGTTTTCTGTTTATTTTGACTCGGACTCACTCTATCACCCAGGTTGGAGTGCAGTGGCACGATCACGGCTCACCACAGCCTCCACCTCCTAGGCTCAGGTGATCCTCCCACCTCAGCCTCCCAAGTAGCTGGGACTACAGGCATGTGCCACTACACCCAGTTATTTTAAAAATTTTTCTGTAGAGATAAGGTCTCACTCTGTTGCCCAGGCTGGTCTCAAACTCCTGGGCTCAAGTTAACCTCTCGCCGCCTCCTCCCCAAGTGCTGGGATTACAGGCATAAGTCACTGCATCCAGCTGAGCCCTCTATCTTGAAGCCACTGACTTTGCCTGTTAGGTTGCCATAATCCTACACTGCAAAGGTGCTCAGCAGTGCTCTGGCCTAGCCTCCCATTCCACTCAAGTCAGCAGAGCCCTGTGAGAAGCTTCTCATGACCAGAGGCCCTCACTGCCCTCCAAAAAGGCTCACCTCACCTGGTAGGAGGACCCCCCAGCACAGTGCACACAGGTCCCCCCTAAGGAGACCTGCCAGGCTCCAGCTTAGAACTTCACATTAATATGTATCACTCGCACCTATGTGGGGACCAATCAACTAGCCTCCCCTGTCAACAAGACAGATTTTTCACCAGTGTGTCACAAATAGCCAATCTCTGTTTTCCCTTCATAAAAATTAGTAATTGATATATTTCACACACCATAATATTCACTCAAAGCAGACAACTCAGTGGTTTTTAGTAGATTCAGAGCTATATAACCACATCTATAATTCCAGAACATTTTCATCTCCCTAAAAAGAAACCTGTTTCTATGCACAGTCACTTCCCACTTACCCCACCCTAGGATCAGGCAACCACTAATCTACTTTCTGCCTTTATGGATTTGTCTATTCTGAGCATTTCCTATAGATGGAATAAGGTTCACCCATGCTGCAGAATGTCAGCACTTTATGCTGTTATGAACATCTGTGTAAACATTTCTGTATAAACATATAGTTTGAATTGTTGGGCCACAGGGTAACCACCAATCTCTTTTGAGCCTCAGTACAGCCTGGCTGTAATTCCCTTTGTGGCAGCTTCTCATTCTTCCTTCCCCAGGACACTTTGGGGTTTTTTTTGAGTTGGAGTCTCACTCTGTCACCCAGACTGGAGTGCAGTGGCTGCTCCCAGCCACCGCAGCCTCACCTGCTGGGCTCCGGCGATCCTTCTGTCTCAGCCTTCCGAGTAGCCGGAATTACAGGCATGCGCTACCATGCCCGGCTGATTTTTTGATTTATTGTAGAGATGAGGTCTCGCTGCCCAGGCGGGTCTCGAACCCGCGGGCTCAGGCAATCCACTCACCTCAGCCTCCCAAAGGCGCGGGATTACAGGCTGAGCCACCGAGCCCGGCTCCCAGGACACTTTCAAAATGCTTAACTACTTCCTGCGTATCGGGGTAGCCTGCTTCACCATGAGGTAATCCTGACAATCCTTCTTAAGTTGTGAATTCTCGGTTCATTTTTCACCATGAAACAACTATTAAAAAAAGAACTATGGCTGGGCACGGTGACTCACACCTATAATCCCCCCACCACTTTGGGAGGCTGAGGTGAGAGAACTGCCCGAGCTCATGGGTTTGAGGCCAGTCCATGCAACTTGGTGAGACCTTATCTCTACAATAAATCAGAAAAAAAAAAGAAAGAACTACAAGCAAACTAAAGGCTAACCAGCACACATTCAAGTGAAGCTGTACCATAATTTTCTTTTTAGTGTAACAAATTCAAAATCTCAGCCATAATCTCTAAAACACTTACGAGGAAGTTGTTGTGGACGCTCAGGAGGGAAAAAATCTCCCTTTGGTAATGCCCTTTCATCCTGAAAGAGAAAGAAAATGCATAAATCTCCATACCCACTGCAGCACTATTTGCAATAGCAAAAGAGGAAACAACCCATCAACAGAGGACCGGTTTAATAAATTATGCTAGATCCGTGCCATGGGATAATAGGCAAGAATGAAAAAAGCACATGGGAGTGTACTTGCTACCTTCTGTGTCGAGGGAAAGACAGAAGTACACATGCAGATTATTGAGAGGTGGGGTGGCCTGGGCAAGAAGTGCAGGGGGACTCTCATAGGATCTTCTCATGCCTTTTGACTTTGTGTCACGTGAATCCATTATGTATTCAAAAGCTAAACTGAATATTTAAAGTAATTAAAGAATCGCTTTATAGTTCCTTTCCTCTTCCTGAGTTTGAGTCCCAACTAGATGGCCCTCAGCACATCTCAGTCCTGTTTGTATTCACTATGATCTTTGGCACAGCCACAATAGGGCAAATGTTTATTAAGGTAGACACGCTTCAACAGACCTTGCAAGGGTGTCTAAATCAATGGGACACTAACCAAACATTCTACTGTACTACTTTGAAAACTGGAAACCCATACACATAACCAGTCTTTGAAACGGATCACTTGCTCAAGTAGGATGGTCAGCTGACTTCCTGAGCAAGCCATTAACAGCCAACTGTGCAAAGGGAAAAATATCTAAAGAAGCCAGGAGCTGCATGGGCAAAAGGCTATTCCTGTCACAACTGTGTTCAACATATTGCTCCCTATTTAACCTACACTGATCTGTAAATATGTATAGTGATTATGTGTACACTCCTAATTCCATGTTTTTGCTAGTCTTGAGTATATTACAGAGAAAAAGCCTATTAACTTACCATTTTGACGTGCATCGGTCTATCAAATAGCAGCTGGCCATTGAACATTGCTGATATTACAATTAAGGCTATTTCTTACAATTCTAAAAATATGCACAAGAGAAGCAAGGAGAAAAAAGATACTCCAACTGCTACCAGTCCCTGTAAGTGATGAGTTTATGAGCAGTTTCAACTCTTCATTATACTTTCAAGTATTTTTCCTACTATAAGCATAAAAGGAACAATGAATAAAGGTGGGGGGAGAGGCAACTCCAGCTTATTCCTTAGGTGTGAAACTACATTTATTTTATTGTATTTTTTGAGTTGGAGTCTCACTCTGTTACCCAGACTGGAGTGCAGTGGCCGCTCCCAGTCACCGCAGCCTCGACCTGCTGGGCTCCGGCGATCCTTCCGTCTCAGCCTTCCAAGTAGCCGGAATTACAGGCATGCGCTACCCGCCTGGCTGATTTTTTGATTTATTGTAGAGATGAGGTCTCGCTGCCCAGGCGGGTCTCGAACTCACGGGCTCAGGTAATCCACTCACCTCAGCCTCCCAAAGGCGCAGGATTACAGGCTGAGCCACCGAGCCTGGCTTGAAGCTACATTTATAACAGATGCTTTTCACTAAGTCATCCTCTTAAGCAGTAGCATCACAATTCTCTGTATGTGGCCAATATGTTAGGTGTCCTATGAAGGATTGTTTTCTGGGTAAGACATGCAGTGACAGTCTTTCCTGAGCTGAAAGAATGTGTTCATGTGTGGTACTATCCACATAACCAAAAAAGATGAAACTCAGGGTAACCTTGGGTCAGGGAGAAGTGACCTTTTCCAAAATGACATCTACTCATTGAAGAAAGAGGGTTCTTTAAGGACATCTTACATGTGAAATAACAACTCAGCTTCTTTCTAGTGGTACATTATTTGGGTTTCCCCTTCAAACCCAGACCCTCTGAAAACACTGGAAGAAACCCTCACGGGCATGTGCCCATATTCTAGCCATCCCTTCTATTTATACAGTATTGAAACAATGCCATCCCAGAGAACTTTCTAATTCCATAGTAATGCATTCCCTCTAGTCACATAAAAGCATTAACACACAAAGTTACCTCTTCCTCACACAAATCTGCATAACTAATATGGCAATTTTGGTCAAGCTATTCACTCTAAGTTGAATTCCTGTGAAAGGATACATATAGCTTGCACAGCTTCAATGGACTGTTCAAAAGTAACAGTGCCTATTCCACGACTTTTTCCATCTTTATCCTCAAGAATGTCTGCTCGGACCACCACACCAGCCATACTAAATACTTCCTTCAGTTTCTTCCAGCCAACTTTATAATCCAGCTAATCGAGAGAAAAGGGGGCAAAAATCTCAATGTAAACATATTAAGAAAAACATTTTTAATACACAAAGGAGACATGCTTTGGTTGGAAATAAGCACGAGGAAATGTCACAAAAACTATTCAACTGCAGTATGGAATGTTTCAAACAGAATTATAAAGCCTGGCCTTAACCGTATTATTTACTATCTCTTTTCTTTTCTTGGAAGCTTAACTCACCTCATACTTCAAAAAAAAATTAAAAATTAAAAAAAAATTCTCTGCTAAGGTTTTACCACCACTGCCCTCAGTCCACTTTCTTCTAAAAATATTTCCCTTCGCAGATGACAGTTTTGAGCATTACCCAACACAACAAGAGAAAGGTGCAAGTGCACTGACTCTGCTTGTACACTTCTATGCAGCACCTACCCGGCACAAAAGAAACCCACAGCAAATGGAGCCCCAGTTTCCACTTTTGTGAGCACCTGAAAAACTCGGTAAACACAGCCAAAATGGGACCATGGCCATGTCTGTGATCAGGAATGTAGTGGTCACTTGTTGACAAAGCCCAACCCCAGGGCTGATTTTTTTTTTTTTTGAGTTGGAGTTTCACTGCTGCCCAGGATGGAGAGCAGTGGCACACTCACGGCCACTCCAGTGTCAAACTGCTGGGCTCTGGCGATCCTTCCGCCTCAGCCTGCCCAGTAGTCAGAACTACAGGCACGCGGTACCGCACCTGGCTAACTTTTTACTTATTGTAGAGACAAGGTCTCGCCAAGTTGCCCGGGCTGGTCTTGAACCCCTGGGCTCAGGCAATCCACTCGCCTTGGCCTCCCAAAGTGCTGAGATTACAGGTTGAGCCACCGAATCCAGTCTGATTTTTTAAATAAATAAAGAAAATAACATAACCCTCATTTAAATTGTTCCCCTCAGATGCCAGAATTACTTTCATAACATATTGACAAGACTGCTTCATAAAGTTCTGATTTTCTACTTTAGACAATGGATCCATTTACTTACATTTGCTACAAATACTGTGCTTCCAAGTCTTCCAGCCTGTAATGCATGGATAATCTCATTTGGGATGTTAGGATTATTTAGGATACTGGGTGGGATATTAATCATTCCTGGGCCACCTGGTCCCATACCCATCCCACCAGTCGTAGCCATCACCTTTTGCATTGCTCTCCTGGCATGTTCACCATCAGGATCCTAAAATAAGCACAGAAGTGTTACATTTAACTGACCCAATGACAACCAAAACCATGCTTGCACAATAAATTATATTCTCCAAAATTCAGAGACTGGAAGGTTGTTTGGAAAGCGTTTCTAAAATCTTTTAACCAGACAGTCAAAAGAACTAAATTACCAGCTTAGGAAGAGTCCAGATACAAGAACAGGAAAAGAAGGGCACGAAATTTAGTGCTGAAAATACAGCTCTCAACTGAACTAAGAAAAAAGGAAAAAGGAGATGGGGAGGAGCACAAGATTAGCTGGTACAATGTAGAACTGCCAGACTGAAATAAGAGCCTCACGGGTCTGGGGGAGTTGAATCTTACTAATTCGATGGGGTTTTGTAATTTCTGCAAACTCCATCAATGACTTTTCCAAAAGCTTGAAAACAGTTATAGATCACCCAGGTACCCACCCCCCATCCTTCAAGTCCTTCAGGTGTATAAGCCATGTAAGGTATGGAGAGTGTAATAACATCTGGACAGCTCTGTGAAGCTCTGGTACTGACTCTCTTCTTGAATTCTCTGTCCTGGCACTGTACCACCATCAGCACTAAAAAAGACACCATCAACACATAAGTGATCTTAAACCCTACCATGCTTTCCTCTCCGAGTTCTGAATATACTTATCTTCCTCTCCAAGAAGAGGTTAAAAAGTAACCAAAAAGGGATTTAAGCAACAAAGACCCCCTCTTTCTTGAGAAAGAGAAGACAAATAATTGATTCAGATCAAACATGAAAGTGGGTTCGGTTGGGCACAGTGGCTATAAGCCCAGCACTTTGGGAGGCAGAGGCCAGAGGACTGCCTGAGCCCAGGGGTTCAAGATCATCCTGGGCAACTTGGTGAGACCTCATCTCTACAATAAATCAAAATGGCATGTGTCTGTACTTTCAGCTACTTGGAAGGCTGAGGCAGAAGGACTGCCTAAGCCTAGCAGGTCTAGGCTGCAGTAGCTATGAGTGTGCCACTACACTCCAGCCTGGGCGACAGAGTTAGACTCCAACTCAAAAAAAAAAAAGGAAAAGAAAAGAGTTTGAGGAATGACAAATTCACTTTAAACAAAAAAAAGAAGGGTGAGCCAAGGTAAAGGTGTAGGGTGCAGAGCATCTTACATGCACAAACCCAACAACAACAACAAAAAAACCCATGGGACAAAAATATAAAGAATAAAAGGAAAAAAAAAAAAGGAGAAAGGAAAAAACAAAACAGCCCACGGGGCTCAGTTTGCATGTCCCTGAGACAACAAGGTCCCAGACAAATCACAGATGTTAGGAAGGTGGGTCAGCAGTCACTCAGGATCTGCTTGGCCACCACTCCGAAGTGCTTGAGGAGTGGCTGCTGAAGGCCGTGACCAAGCCTCTTCGTTCACGAGGGATTGGCATGTTCTGAAAAAGCAACCAAGGAGCATCCCCGTCCCTCCCTAACTCTAAGCAGGGATGACCCAACAATCATACACAGAATCCGCAGCATTTGGCAAGCGCTTACTTCTTTGACTTTCAGTGGTCTTCCACTCAGACTATGCTTGTTTAGGACTTCCGCAGCTTTTTTCATGCTCTCTTCCATCTTGAATTCAACAACACTAGAAAGAGTCAAATGGAAACGAGTGAAACCAGTCCCACAAGTCAGAAGTCTCAAATGCCAAGAAGTAACTAGATGATACTTACGCACATCCCTTTGGAGGAAGCCAGACCAGTCAGAAGAGCAAGGAAGGGGGGAAAAAAGAAAAGAAAGAAAGTAGTAAATACCAATGACAGTTATAAACAAATTTAAAATATGATTTATGTAACAAAGTTTTTTAAAAAATCAACTCTTCTAAGGGGAAGCTGACAGAAGGGCCTTGCCTAACCATCCTTATTAAAAGCTGGGCTCCTTAGTATCTCCCTGCCCTACACATTACCAGCATTGCACTGTAGCTGCTGAAGTTATAATAAGCAGACCTAAATTCAGGTTCGCCAAGAAATCACACAAGCTTTAGATCTGCTTCCCTTTGTACTCAATCAATTCCTTACCATACGCCTCCGAAATCCATCCCTTCCGTAAATTAAGCTCATCCTTTTGATTATTCTAAGCCATTCTTTGCACGACAAAAAATAATTTATGTTCTCTTTAAACTAGGCCAATTTTGAACGTTCAGGTTTTTAATATTTGGTTTACAATTTACTGGCACAAAGGCAACTTTTCGGAATCTTTGATTCACACAACTTTCAAATTCAGCAAACAACCAAGAGTAACATTTTCTAGACAAGAACACACGTTTTACATTAATTATACCACCGCTAAAATTCCATGCATAATTCACACACAGCCAATTCCTCTGTTAACAAAGAGACAATGCTGCTATTGGTCCCCAGTTATCCAAATTGGGCATCCAAACAGAATACCAAAAAGCTCTTTGGCCAGCCATTTGGAAAAGCGGGACTCCATTTGCAAATCCCCTCCCACCCCACTCGAATGTTTGGCAAAATCAAACATAGCTACTGTAACATGAGCACTCACTGCCTTCCTGATTTCATTCGATTCCACGCCACCATACAGTTACATTTTTCATGTAGTAAATCCACAGAAGAAATTCTCTCAGACACTTACCCTTGACTTTCCTTCAGCGTCCATTAAGAGCTCCACGTATGTTACCTCACCAACTACAAATCAGTTTCCAGACGACACATAAACCAAGGGAGAAAAGCCAAGAAAACAATGGGAATTTAGAACAATCATCAGCAACCTTGTATGGAGCCTCTGCCTTATAAGAAAGCCCAGAAACACTCCATGTTCTCTAAACCACCGAACTAGGCATTACAGGTGTGCAGTAAAAGTTGGCAAAAACACGTAACAATATGTCCTTGATTTTCCTCCCACCACAAGCAACTATTTCCACAGATTTCCATATCGATTTCCCTGTCTGGAATACTCATTCATGACTAGAGGCAATCCAAATCTACAGGAAAGAAGTCTGCGCGATTCATTTTTTTGGGGAAGGGAGGAAGTTTTACATGTATACTCTTACTGGTGAGGATAGGTTGTGATGCCATCGCACTCAACTCACAGCCACAAGTACCAGGTACACGTATGGATAAGCTTAAAGGCACAAATGGCCAAGGGCCAAGCTAGTGGGTGTATGACCTGTGCCATCCCACAGAGCCCCGCATTCAGGAGGGCCCTGGGCTTGTTTTGTGCTGTTGTCACTGTCATGAAATTTTTAATTTTTTGACAGGAGGCCCTTGTTTTCATTTTGTACTGTGTCCCACAAATTCTACTGCCGGTCCTGCACACAGCAGTGGGCTACAGACCGTCAGAAATAGAATGCTTGAAAATATGTTCATAAAACCAAGCAGCATCTGGATTCTCTTCAGTGAATTAAGCAAGGCTTTATTCTTGCTGCTTTCTAAACTTCCCCATTAAAGGACACAAGCAAATTCAGATTTAGGGCTCAGTTTTTGCATCTAAACAGTTAAACACACTCACGATTCTAATTTACACAAAGGGAAAAAACCCCAAAGCATTTCAAAAGTTTCTGCAGATTTTCCTCAAGGTTTGGATTGCCAATTCATGACCACCATGACGAGATGTTAGAATCCAGCAAGACAACCACCAAAATGGCTGCTGAACTTGAAGATGGCACACAGAAGACAAATGTAAAGCCTTAACTTGGAAGAAAAAAATCTCTAAGCAGACTCTCCAAAGTCAAAAAAGGGCTTTTGCTGTTCTCAAGATTTTTTTTTTTTTTTGAAGGATTCTTTTTATGATGGATTATTCTTATGTTAAATCCTTCTCCAATTCATTTTCCAGTTTGGTTTAGCAGTAAAAGGGTAAAAATAACCCATTCAATGGCCTCAACAAATCCTCTCTTTTCCAACTCCTTTGTTCGAAGGACATTAAATTATAAGAATTTTCTAATTAATAGAGTAAGGAAAAATTTTAAGGAAAAATAAAGTTATTTTACACATAAAAACCACAAATTGAAGAGCACATTTATTAATGGCTCTGCACAGTGGCTCTAAAGGCAAGAAGGCCAAGTGCTCAGAGTTGAAGACTATCATCTTACCTCCTCTGTCCTTGCTTGAAATGTTACAGAACCAAACTGGCACTTTGCACACAACAAGAAGAGAGAATTAGTGCAAAGAAACAAAGGAAGGGTCATTGCCTCGCTAAACTATGGTGTGGCCATGTGCTCTTTGAGCTATAGCCAGGCCATGTTTTCTTAAGCTTTCGCCCCCTCCCCTACCTTGGGGAGGCAAATCTCCTCTTTCTCTCTTTCCAATTTAGTTTTTAAATAAACTACATTTTCTAATCTAAAAAAAAAAAAAGTAACAAGGAAGGAACTAGGAGGGACCAGTACAGTTTAACTTGTAGAGTATGGACTCCTGTGGGCAATGATCACAGCAAAGGGACAACTGTACCAAGTGGCTTTATTTTACCCTTACAAGAGTAAACAGGTTCCAAAAAAGTCCGGATCCTTCCTGAGGCCATGATAAAGCCATCTGTTTCAACAGCAGCAGCCATTCAAGACCACCAGCCCTGTCTCCACTTGGATGGAAATGCCACGTAGTGTCAAGCAATGAAGAGACCCCAGTTTACTTTCTACCAGCTGTGACTACCACCTAACAGCCACTAAAAATAAAAATCACAATATCTAACTCAAGACAGCTGTAACCATGTTGTCAGAATGCAAATACTGTTGCATTTGAAGCTTCTAATCTGTGTCCATAAAGACACTTTATCAAAAAGCTGGTACTGCAACCTAGAAACCAAGCAAATCCAAACCAAACTTTTTTCCAAGGTCATAACTATTTTAACAAAAAGAGGTTTAGAAATCAGGACCTTTTCTACATAACATTCTAGTAATGGCACACACCTGACTTCAATTCTTTGAGATAAAAATTTGTTTAAATTGTTCCCCCCCTTTTGCCCCCCAAATAGTGTGGTTAGCAGTCACCCAAGGCTCCAACTTGAGTAGTGCTGTTCCCAAGATCATCAGTAATGACCATACTCCTCCCAAACTCATAAAATTCTGATCTCTACCCTGAGAGACTTCATCAGTTCGGTGTTATGGGATTTGCAATGGTTGCTAATTCATACTTCCCTATAGGAAGATACTCATGAAGTTTTTTTTTTGTTTTTTGTTTTTTAGTTGGAGTCTCACTCTGTCACCCAAACTGGAGTGCAGTGGCGCACTCATGGCCACCACAGCCTCGATCTGCTAGGCACAGGTGACCCTTCCGCCTCAGCCTTTCAAGTAGTTGAAACTACAGGCATGCACCACCATGCCCGGCTAATTTTTTGATTTACTGTAGAGATGAGGGTCTTGTCAAGTTGCCCAGGCTGGTCTCAAACCTGTGGGCTCAGGCAATCCTCTCACATCAGCCTCCCAAAGTGCTGGGATTATAGGTGTGAGCCACTGCACCCAGCCTCTCATGAAGTTTTAAAAGACCACCTCTCTTTTGGTTCTACAATATGAAAACAAAGATCTGCTGCATGTAGTCAGTTCAGTTATCGACAAGAATATGAAGGCAAAATGTGCCAAAGAGCCAAAGTTTGGTCACATGCCATAAAATGAAGTTTTACGGAGGAAACCATCCAAAACAGATCACAGATAGGGCTCAGGCAGAGGCGACAGCTTTGCGTTCCAGCAATCTCACGGAAACACAACTCATAGTTACTAATGAAAAATACTGTTGCTCCTCTCCCTTCCTCAATGGATAAAATTCATGGAATCTCAAGAGAGGCTGCTAAGACAAATATCACTGCAGCTCTAGACATCGAACTATCTAAATGAAAAATCTAAGAGTTTGAAAAAATCTAACACCCCAAAGTTATCATCTATCTCTATTTGAAAGGTTCCAAGATGTAATTTTTAACCAACATTTAAGCTGATTATTAAAAAGACTGCTTCAAGAAGAAAACATCATCAGGACTACATGAACAACCCAAAAAGAACTCAAGTGGTCCCTGGGACTACTCTTATTTCACACTCCTGTACAACTTCTATCAAAATGAGTATTTGTTTTTGTGTTCCCATTGACTGCTTAAGTCTGAAATGGATTAAAAAAAAAAAAGAGAGAGAGGGAATACAGAGGTGGAAGTTTCACTGAAGATAATTCATATTTAAGGCCTATAATTCTTTTAAAGAGGGTAGGGGCTTGAAAGCCAGGCATGCTGTCAGTCACACAGTCTTCACCTCACACTAGGCAATCCTCAAGGAGACACTCTACTGGGAGGGGTGCAGAGAATGCATGCAGTCTTTAAAGACAACTTGAAACATGTCAAACAGTTATTCTATACGACTATTTGATTTATGGACAAGTGAAAAGATGCTAGAACCCACACTTGTTTTTAATTCCATGGCGAGAGAGAAGAGCACTGTTTCTCTGGACCAAAGACTGGAATAAGCCAGACAGGCTGCACTGCTGGGGTTCAGTGTCAACATTCACACATGTGAATGCTTTAGCATAACAGGCCTTTGCAAAATGCAGGCTGAACTTTCAACAGAGGAAAATATGAACAGCAAGTAGACTGGGAAGGGATTTTATTTAAACTAAAATAAAGTTTCGCTTCATAGACCCCGCAATGCAAATGATCTCCAAGAGCCAGCGAAGGTGGTCTATTGAACTATACTTGCCCTCTGGGCCTTAGTTTTCTGTCAGCTGGAATTTGAAATTTACTTAAAATGATGCATTAAATAATAACAGGATTAAGTGCTTAAGGAAATCTTTGCTTACACAAGTTAAACTGACTGCTGCTAAACCTGGGGTTGATTTGAGCGTAAACTACACACACCACTGATCTTCCTTTCTTCCTCCAACTGGGCTCTGTGTTTACTCACTGCTGGGCCAGTTCTGTCCTGCCTAGCAGCATCTGCCCACCTCCTGGCTAGGCCAGGAGAAGCAGTCGCCCAGCAAGCAGCTTTCTTCACCCACAGGGAAGTTTGTGGTCTTCAACTAATGAAGCACAACTCTATTTAAGTTTAAAATTTTGCTCACTGAAATCTATTTTTTCTACCTAGTTCTCAACCACTTTAAGAGATGTATCCCATTATCTGCTGTGATGCAAGGAGGAGAGCTGTGGGCAGTCAAGTCACTACCAAAGGCATAAGTGACCAGTTCACTCAACATATAGATTATCAACAAGATCCCCTAGAGTGCTGCAAAATGCTAAACTAAAGACAGAGAACAGACACGTGGTGTTAAAGAAGGGGAGACCAGAAATCAGGGAGGGGGAGGTGAGACAACCTCTCGGACGACTATGCTTAGAAAAGCTCCCCTCCTGTCATCTCAAAGCTAGCTACTTTAGTTCTGAGAGGTTGCAATTAGACACCGCTGCAATGACAGAAAATTGAAGTTGAGGACAACTAATTCTACTTTTTGTTTCCTGAAACAGGACTAAGATTTCAGCAGGGAGACTCTAAAATACATACTGATAAATAGTGATTAGATTATGGCAGCTCAAATCTCTGTGGCTGGGGATTATTTTGAGACTAACACTTTTGAGGGTGTGAGTGCCTCTATCTGCCATTTTCCCCTGTGCAGGAAGTCTTCAAAAAACTAAAATTTATTGGCAACAGATTTCAAGTAAATATTTCAGATTTAAAATAACCATTTAAAAATATTTTTGTATACTAAAACAGCAATAAAAGTGTATTTTTAAAGCCTCATAATGAAAATAAGAACATTTTAAAAGGAGTCTTGTGTATGTAAACATAAATTTCCTTAGACTTCACATACTAAATGTACGCATTACCATAAAAAGATTCATACCTTTCTCTTATGAATCACTTTACCCACAATCCACTACTGCTAATAATTTAATTAAACAGCAAAGTAATTAATTTAGCCAGTACAGGGGAGCACTAAACAAGAACATTTTAACGTTCACTAAAAATAACTGATTTACTGCACACCTGTAATTCTAAATTACACCACCAAAAATACACTGAAAGGGCTGAGCCCAGGCATTCATAGCAGTATGCCAGGGGAATATGAGAACCAGTTTGGAAGTGTCCAAATAAACCACCAGGCTGGCTCCACACTTGTAAGAATGCAAAGTAGTAAATTGAGGTGAACTGCTTCTACATCCAGAAACGTCATGGCTGCTGCTGCTACCAGCTTTAAGGCTTCCCAAACCGAATTACTGAATGGTAAAGCAGTAAAAATGTCACCTACTTTATCCATCATGTCCCAAAACTGGTTCACACACTCCTAAAAATGAAAAAATAATTTGGCCTGCAATCTCTTACAAAATTCTAACAATTGCATTTTCAAAGCCACATTCCTGGTTCTTGGAACTACTATACCTTATTATCAATGGAAATAGCAATTCAGCAGATCAACCAAATCACAAGAACACAAATTTGGAGGTTATTCCAAAAACTAATTCGAATGAGACCCAACTGTACTGTACAGAAATTCTAAGCTTGTATTGAAGCAGCAGTCCCAAAAACCAAGAACACTGCATCTGGGATGCCACATGACACGCCCCTCAGACAAAAAGAAACTTCACTCTTGCCCTAGGAGCATTGGCAGGAATGATTTGGCTGATCAAGGCAAGAAAACAAATCTCACACCAAAATGTTTTTCCATCTGTGTTATCTGGAGAAATACCACATGGGAGCAGCACACATGACTGCACGGAGGTTCACAGTGCCCAGTGCTTCTTGCATTTCATGGTCAAAATAAGCGATGGTACAATAATGGCAATGCCATTCATAATTTCAAAATCCAATGCGGGAGCACCAGTACACATACCAAAATGGCCTATCCAGGGGCATCCCCGTCACTGAAATGTTAATCATTTGACAAATCAAGCTTCACATCTCTTTTCAAGATGAATGCTCCAGAAAACCAATACCTTTCAGTCCTTCAAAGACTCCATGGAGGGTCATTTGAGTCTGGGGGAGGGGCTCAAGGCATTATTCAAATTGCTCTCATCAGTAGTTGTGTCTAAACCAGGGCTGAGCAATCTCTTTAGTCCTAAGTGCCACCAGCAGGGCCAAGAATCAGGAGAGAAAGGAAGACAACAGCAGCAAAGGAGTGAAGAATGAGAAAGACGACACACATAGTGTGCACAGGGGGTAAGGCAGAGGACCACAGAGGCAGTCTCCTCAGACCTACTGGTGGCAGCAGAGCTTGGGCACTTCCTCTGCCCTGGGCCAGAATTTGGACACCTGGGCTGTGACAATGTGCACCTTAAGGCATCACATTACAAAGCAGATACCTTATTTTGATCTCTCCAATTGCCAATCTGCTATATTTTTTCCTAGGGAGGAAAAGCCTAAGAGTTAAGTACCAGCTAATTTTTACAGTTTAGAACCTGAGCAGCACAAGGTCCAGCTACCAAATTGTGATTCCAGGAAGACATCCACAAAATTTAAACAAACTATCTTCCTGCCAAATTTAAAAACCTAAAATAAAAAAAAAAAAGACAGAAAAGAAAGGAAAAACCTCCCACCTAATGTGAAGAATTTTCCTCAACACAAAAAGGCTCCTCTCAAGCTAATCGAAGCCCTCATGACCATATTAAGCCAGTCAAATCATGTGTAGGCCAAGGGACCATATACACAACCCTGTCTGACATACAGGGCAGAACCACACAAAAAAGTGGGGTGGGGTAGGGGGCTCACTCTCAAGCCTAGACAGAACACATACTCTACCCCAGAGCAGCTTCCAGTGACAAAAGTAACCAAGGAATTAGCCACAGAAGAGATGACACACCGACCTTCTTACCCTACTCCACCACCAGTACCATTACCTTTTTCTTTAACCAGGTCTTTAAGTGACTGCCATTTCACATCAAAAGGGATATTTGTAATGAAGGCTCTGTATCTTTTAGTTGGATTGGCATACGGCTCAAAGCGATTGCCTCCTCTTTTTATGTTTTTCTCCTTCCTCTTCTCATTCTGAGCAGGACGTTCTCCTTCACTGAATTCAAAAGAGAAAAAAAAGCGTTTATTTGTTAGCACAAGCCAAAAGACAGTATCTGATCTACCAAGTTTACAATTCTACACAAAGTCACGTATGACACAAGTCTAGTACTGGTTTTGATTTGAGACAAACTAAACTGCTTCACGGGGCACAAAGCTACAGTAGTGCATTCCTTAAAATCCACCTGAGAAGCTATTTGCAAAAGTACCTTCTACTAAGCTGACGAATGCTCATGGGCTATAACAGCTTTAGCAGTGAGGCTAAATCCCACCTGAAGTGCAGAAACAGGAAGACAAGATTTACAAAGTTTTGTGGAATGAAAATATGAAGTGGGGCACATAGACCCAACCAATCTGAGCTTCACAAATGAAAGTATTTTTCATATTATGTAACCAAAAAAAGGGAGGGGAAATGTAAAATGACATAGCCCCTGTGTAAGACAGTTCGGTGGTGACCAAAAACTAAACGTAGAATTACCATGCAACCAGCAGTTCCACTGTGAGGTATATACTCCAAAGGAAAGCAAGGACTCAGATACTGGTACATCAATGTTCACAGCAGCATTAGTCACAAAAGCCAAAATGTGGGAGCCACCCAAGATCAGTGAAATAAACAAAATGTGAATGATCCATGCAATGGATCATTCTTCAACCACAAAGAGGAAAAAACTTTGAATACATGCCACAACATACATGAACCTTGAGGACAGTGGGCTCAGTGTAAAAAACAAATATAAGCCCAACACTTGGAGATACCTAGAAGGAAGCAAATTCACAGAGACAGAGTAGAACAGAGGTTACCAGAGTCTAGGGAAGGTGGGAAAAGGGGTTATTGAATAATGGAGGCAGAATTGGTTTGGGATGATTATTTTTATTTTTGACTTGGAGTCTCACTGTTGTGTAGGCTGGAGTGCAGCAGCATGCTCACGGCCGTCCCAGAGTCGATCTGCTGGGCTCTGGTGATCCTTCCACCTCAATCTTCCAAGCAGCCGGAACTACAGGCGCACGCTACCACACCCGGCTGATTTTTTGATTTACTGTAGAGATGAGGTCTCACTGTGTTGCCCAGGCTGGTCATGAACCCACGGGCTCAGGCAATCCTCTTGCCACAGCCCCATAAAGTGCAGGGACTGAGCCACCGTGCCCAGCCCAGGATGATATTTAAAAGTTCTAAGAATGGACAGTGGTGATGGGTGCACAATACTGTACTTAGCTACACAGTAGAGATACTTACAATGATGTGTCTTATAGATACCTTAATCAATTTTTTTTAGTCCAGAAAAGGGGAAAGAAACCATTCTCCAAATACTCCCACTTACTTTGAAGGTAAGAAACTCTAAGTCTGAGCAACACTGGTAGGTAGAAGACACCAAACCAAGCAAACAATCCCACCTATGGTAAAGAAGGATGAATGCTTTTGGGCACATCCTTCCCTGTGATCTTGTTTACCTTAGTGTGTTAGGTGCCAGCCACCATGATGCAACATTTTATCTCTAAGCACCAAACAAGAGGCTTGCAAGCCCAGGTGTGTATGCCTACCAGGGCAGGGCTCATGTACTGGTTGACCAGGAGCAAGTGTGGCAAGCTTCTCAGGGCACTGAGCCTTGCTCTTTCTGCCTTCCGAGCCCCATGCATTTCACCAATGAGAGTTCAGCAACTCCCAAACCACAGGCTCTAGCAGCTTGGGATCCATGATAAAAAATGGGGGAGGGAGCCAAGAGAACAGTATTGATGGTTTACAAAACTACCTTTTCTTGTTTAGTTTGATTAATTTAATGTAATTGGCCAGAGGCAGTTGCTCACATCTATAATCCCAGCACTTTGGGAGGTCAAGGCAAGAGAGGACTGCTTGAGACCAGCCTGGACAACATCCTGAGACCTCATCTCTTAAAAAAAAAAACTTTTAAAAAAAATTAGCCAGGTGTGCTGGCATATGCCTGTCGTCCCAGTTACTTTGGCTGAGGAGGAAGGATTATCTGAGCCCCAGGAGGTCGAGGCTTTGGTACACTGTGATCAGGTCACAACACTCCATCCTGGATGACAGAGTGAGACTCCCTCCCCAAAAAAATTTATTGAATTTTATTCATTTAAAGGGCTGATCTTTATTGTGGGACATCTTTCATTTGTAGGAGATGGGCAGTCAACTCCCATCAACACTTGATGGGAGTTGGAAAACTTTTTTTTTTTTTTTGAGTTGGAGTCTCACTCTGTCACCCGGACTGGAGTGCAGTGGCCGCTCCTGGCCATTGCAGCCTTGAACTTCTGGGCTCCGGCGATCCTTCCGCCTCAGCCTTCCAAGTAGCTGGAACTACAGGCGTGCGCTACCACACCCAGCTAATTTTTTGATTTATTGTAGAGATGAAGTCTCGCCAAGTTGCCCAGGCGGGTCTCAAACCTGTGGGCTCAGGCAATTCACTCACCTCAGCCTCCCAAAGTGTGGCCGGAAAACTTTAAAAAAATGTTTATTTAGGCAGGCTCAGTGGCTCACGCCTGTAATCCCAGCACTTAAGGAAGTGGAGGCGAGAGGATTGCCAGAGCTCAGGGGTTCAAGAACAGCCTGGGCAACATGGCAGAGACCTCATTCCTACAATTAAAACGAAAAAAAAAAAATCAGCCAGGCATGGTGGCGCATGCCTGTGTGGTTCCAGCTACTTGGAAGGCTGAGACAGAAGGATCACCTGAGCCCAGTAAGTCAAGAAGGCCACTGCACTCCAGCCTGGGTGACAGAGTGAGACTCCGACTCAAAAAAAATTTTTTTAAGTGTTTATTTAGGCTGGGTGTGGTGGCTCACACCTGTAATCCCAGCATTTGGGAGACCGAGGCAAGAGGTTCACTTGAGACCAGGAGTAACATAGCAGATGAGGTGATGTTGTGGCCACTCCAATCCCACATGCCTAGAATACAGTCTACCTGTGTCCACAACTGGCTCTCCCTCAGGGTAGCTTCATACCACAAAGCAGATCCCACAGGTACCCACAACTGTTACACAGACTACCTGTCCACTCCCAAAGGAAGTCCTGCACCAAAGTCTGCCAAACAGAACATATCTGCCAAAGCACCTCTTATCCTTGGCAGAAGATGAGGTGTTAAAGAAACTCACAGCACATGGCTCAACCTACCTATCTTGTTCCAACAGAGGGTCCATACAGAAATGTATTTTAATATAACTAGTTACTTTTGAAACGCCAAATATTTTCGGATTTATAATAAAAAACATTCTAACACAGGGTCCATGACAGTAATATTTCCAGTTTGTTTTCAGACTACTCACCTCACCTATGAGCTACAAAATGCACAAGTAACTAATTCTAGCCAAAGCAGGTAACAAAGTATCAAGCTGATATTCTGCAATGTATATTACCTCTAAGAATAAACTCCCAGAGGGAACCACAGAAGCTGGGTTTTGGTTTGGGGTTAATCCACATCACATGACTCCACCGAGAAAGCAGCTCACTGGTTTAATGCCGGAAGTGTGGGTATATGCCCAAAGTGTGGGCATAGCACTTCTATAAACAAATCTTTCTCTGGCTGATAATTTCCTCTCTCTGAGAAGTTTCTTCAATAAGGGGTTAGAACTATCTTTTTTTTTTTGAGTTGGAGCCTGAGCCTTCCAAGTAGTTGGAACTACAGGCTGGAACTACCACACCCAGCTAATTTTTTGATTTATTGTAGAGATGAGGTCTCGCCAAGTTGCCCAGGCGGGTCTCGAACCCACAGGCTCAGGCAATCCACTCACCTCAGCCTCCCAAAGCGTAGGATTACAGGCTGAGCCACTGCCCGGCTAGAACTATCTCTTAACATTTCCAGTTTAAAAAAAAAAATCTACCTTTTGAAAATCTACCACAACCAACTCAATTCTTGACTATTGAGAATGATGCTCAAAGAAATCTCACTTGGGCCAGGCACTGTGACTCATGCCTATAATCCTAACGCTTTAGAAAGGCCAAAGCAGAAGAACCGCTTGAGGCCAGGAGTTCAAGATCAACCTGGGCAAGATGAGACCCAGTCTCTTTAAAGAATATGAGACCAAGTGCAGTGGCTCAAGTCTGTAATCCCAGCACTTTGGGAGGGCAAGGCAAGAGGATTGCCTGAGTCCAGGGGTTCAAGACCAGCCTGGACAACATGGTGAGACCTCGTCTCTACAATAAGTAATAATAATAATTAGCTGGGCATGGTGGCATGTGCCTGTAGTTCCAGTTACTTGGAAGGCTGAGGCAGAAGGATCACCAGAGCACAGCAGGTCGAGGCTGCAGTGGCCAGGAGCAGCCACTGCCCTCCAGCCTGGGTGACAGAGTGAGACTCCAACTCAAAAAAAACAAAAACAAACCATCAAAAAAAAGAAAATATCTGCAAAGCATGCATCTGCAAAAAGGACTTTATACAGACTATATAAAGAGAAGGAATTCTCAAAACGCAGTAATAAGACAATTTTTTTTTGAGTTGTTGTCTCACTCTGTTGCCCAGGCCACAGTGCAGTGGCACACTTACAGTCATTGCAGCCTCAACTTGCTGGGCAGGCAGTCCTTCTACCTCAGCATTCCAAGTTAGCTGGAATTACAGGTGCGCGCCACCACGCCTGGCTAACTTTTTTGACTTATTGTAGAGATGAGGTCTCACCATGTTGCCCAGGTTGGTCTTGAACCCGTGGACTCAGGCAATCCTCGTTTCCACCTCCCAAAGCACTGGGATTACAGGTGTGAGCCACCAAACCTGGTCAGACCTCAAGTTTTTTTAAATGGGCAAATGATTGAAAGAAACCTCACCAAAGATATATGGATGACAAATAAATATATGTAAAGAAACTCAACATTACCAGTCATTAGGGAAACACAAAATAAAACCAAAATGCCACTATACACCTGTTAGGATGGCTAAAATTAAAAAGAATGACCACACCAAGTATTACCAAGGTTATGGAAGAACTGGTGGGAATGTAAAAACAGTAAGCCAGTTTGGCAGTTTCTTAAAAAGTTAAACATACATATATACAACCAAACC